TTAGTGAGTTTGCAGCCTGAGCAAAAGCCTCAGTTGTTTTTTTGAAGCATCACCTCAGCTAAATTTGTGGCATCAGCTAAGTCTGAGAAGCAGCTTGCAAGTACAAAAATGCAGCTGATGTGGTGGGATTCTTCATTGCTGCTTCTGCAACCCAAATAATTAATTAGGTTATCTTGTTCTTAGCTGTCTTCACCCTGGGAGGACCTGAGGATAAGAAGGAAGTTCTTGGGCAGCCATCAGCTGGCAGCAGCCAGAGGAACACTCAGGGCAATTCTGATGGAGCTTAGTTGGCTTCTACTTTTTAAAAGCTTGGCACAGACTAAGCAATCATCAGTTTTTGAATTCTCATCATGTCTCAGCTCCTCAACAGCATCAGATCTTAGAGGCATTGGATGAAAAAGGAGATTGAAGCTGGCTGCAATCACTGAGTTGGATGCTGTTTCTTAATTGGGATTAAATAAGGCACCATATGTTTTAAGAAATTAAGCATTTCTGAGCATTTTACATGAAAGAAACTCAAACTCAAACAGCAAAAAAAAAATCTTAGCAAAGGAAAAGGTGCAGGGAATGCAGCAAAAAATCAACTCAGGAAGCAGCTGGACACAATAGTGTACCCTCAAACAAACCATACTATTGTGTATCATGATCATATTCATTTCAAGTTACTTTCAATTGATTTCAATTTACTTGCAATTGATTTCAATTTACTTTCAAGTAAAAGAAAAAAAACAATCACCTCAGGAAGCAGCTGGACACAATAGTGTACCCTCAAACAAACCATACTATTGTGTATCAGGGTTGCTCATGGACTACCCCCTTGAAAAATTGTTTGAGTGATGTTTTTTAATTGGGTTTTAATAAGGCATCATATATTTTGGGAAATTCAGCATTTCTGAGAATTTTAAATAAAAGAAACTAATTAATTGAGAAAATAAAAGAAACAAACTTTAGCAAAGGAAAAGGAAAAGGAAATGGTTGAAAAAAAACATAACCTCAGGAAGCAGCTGGACACAATAGTGTACCCTCAAACAAACCACACTATTGTGTATCAGGGTTGCTCATGGACTACCACCTTGAAAAATTGTTTGAGTGATGTTTTTTAATTGGGTTTTAATAAGGCATCATATATTTTGGGAAATTCAGCATTTCTGATAATTCTAAATAAAAGAAACTAATTAATTGAGAAAATAAAAGAAACAAACTTTAGCAAAGGAAAAGGAAAAGGAAATGGTTGAAAAAAAACATAACCTCAGGAAGCAGCTGGACACAATAGTGTACCCTCAAACAAACCACACTATTGTGTATCAGGGTTGCTCATGGACTACCACCTTGAAAAATTGTTTGAGTGATGTTTTTTAATTGGGTTTTAATAAGGCATCATATATTTTGGGAAATTCAGCATTTCTGAGAATTCTAAATAAAAGAAACTAATTAATTGAGAAAATAAAAGAAACAAACTTTAGCAAAGGAAAAGGAAAAGGAAATGGTTGAAAAAAAACATAACCTCAGGAAGCAGCTGGACACAATAGTGTACCCTCAAACAAACCACACTATTGTGTATCAGGGTTGCTCATGGACTACCACCTTGAAAAATTGTTTGAGTGATGTTTTTTAATTGGGTTTTAATAAGGCATCATATATTTTGGGAAACTGGTAATTTCTGAGAATTATAAGAAAAATAGAAAAGTAAAAGAAAAAGTTTAGTAGTTAAAGGATAAGGTAAAGGACATGGTTGAACAAAATAACCTCAGGAAGCAGCTGGACACAATAGTGTACCACCAAACAAACCATACTATTGTGTATCAGGGTTGCTCATGGACTACCTCTTGAAAAGTTGTTTTGATGTTTTTGTTTTTTTTGCAAGATATTATATAATTTTATATAATTATATAATTATATACATTTGGGAAATTGAATAATTATTTCTCAGCAAAGCACTTTCAGCAAAGTTTGATGTTTTGGTTCTGAGCTTGCATGTGTGCACACCAGCATCCAGAGCTCAGCAGCGACTATTCCTCTATCAGCTTATTTCAACTGGAAGTTCCTGAGATTGTGAATGAAATCAAGTTTTGGTTTTTGTATCTAATTTTGCTTTTTATTGTCTCAAGTTTTTCCTATGAAATAGAAGTTGTCAATTAATTAATTACTATATAAAAGTGGAATATTTAATTACTCAGTTAATTACATTGTTTCAGTTCTCAGTTGCTTAGTTGATTAATTCAAATCTTGTCAGCCAAGGCTCAGCATGGCTATTTCATCTCAGCTCAAAACCTTTGCTTTCTTGGCCTTGGTGATGAGCTCAGGGATCAGCATGGCCAGCATCTGAGCTTGCATCTCAGCTTTTTGGTTTTAAACCTTGGGCTATTGAATGGTGTTTTGTTTACCTAGTTAATTAATTGAGGAAATATGTTTTTTCCATCTCATGCAGCCTGCATTGCAGGCTGCAACTCAGTGGATCTGAGCAAGAGGCTCAATGCTCTGGAACAATTCTTCAACAGTGCTCAGCTGGATCTTAGGCAAGATTTAAGTAAGTAAACACTTTTGTTTCTCCACTAGCTTCCTCTAAGCATATAACTGTACAATTGTACACTTATATAATTATAAAATTAATTACTTAATGAATTCATTGTTGATTGCAATGCCAAGGGCTGGTTCTCAGCCATGATCTTGTTGGGCTACATCATCAAGATCTTCCTTTCCAAATCAGCTCAGCTCAAGAATGTCTTCAGTGGCTCAGTCTCCAAAGTGAACACTCAGCTGGGCACCCTCAGAGAAGAAACTTGATGGCACTTGAGCATGTGTCATAGATATGATGGCCTAAGGTTGATGCTTTCCATATTAATTAATTAATTACCTAAGATTTTTTTGATTCTTCATTTGGCCAAGCCAGGAGATGTGGGAACTCAGTCAAAAACACTTAGAAAAATCTGAGTTCTCAGCTGTTTTGAAATTAGGTTTTAATACATGTCTTGGGGATTTGCCTCAACATTGTATTCAACTAAGGTGAAGAAGCAGCTCAGAGCTAGAGGTGGAGGAGCTGAATCTACACCTCAGAAGGGCTCTACTGGCAGCCCTGAGTCTTCACCACCCAGCTCAGGGAGGGTGCAGTCTGGTCTTGGCAAGTTTTTTGGCTCAGGAAGCCAGAAGAGAGGTGCTGAGAAGCCAGTGTCAGAAGAACTGGTACCTCAGAAAAGGCAAAGGCTCAGCAGATATCAGCAGGATGCCATGAGGGAAAGGAATGAATTGCTGAGAGAAAATGCTGAGCTGAAGGCTCAAAAAGCTGAGAGAGATGAAGAACTCATAGAGATAGCTAAGAAAACAGCCAGGCTTGTAAGGAGGGAACCTCAGCAGTCTCCACAAGCCAGCTCATCAGGTACCAACAGGAAGAAGCCAGGCTCAGCCACCAAGAGAGCAGAAATCTCAGCTGAGACAAAGGTGAAGTACTGTGAGGAGATGCTTGCAGACAAGCCCAGGTTCACTAAGCTTGAGGATTTTTGGAAGGCTCAGAGCAGCAAGTATGGCATCACCAAAAAGCAACTCAGCCACATGCTGGCAAACCATGAGTCATACAAGCAACTTGTGTCTCAGAGCAAGCTCAAGAACCTCAGAAAACAAGAGAAATCTAAGAGAAAGAGGGCTCAGGGAGGTGGAAGAAAAGTTGCTTTCCCAGATATCACCTCAAGTATAAAGCAATGGCTCAGTCTTGAAAGAGCTTGTGGCAACACTATCTCTAAGCAGGATCTGATGGCTGAGTACCTGGCCAGACTGCAGCTCACAGCAAATGAGCTCAGAAACAAAGCAGCAAACAAGGACATCACTGCCTTGCAAAAAGCTGAGTTGATCAAAGATAGCACAGAGAGAGAGGAGAGGAAGACTAAGTTGCTTGAAAATAATGCATATAGGAAAGTAACTGCTTTCAGACTTGTTTCATGGCTTGATGCTAAGTATATGGCCACTGAGCTGGTGACCAACATTTCAGCCACTGAAGCTGAGACCAGAACTAAGCTGACATGGCAGGAGTTTGACCACAGCCTGTGGCTGAGCACACTTGCATCTCAGCAGGTCTTAGCTGAGAGCAAAAGGGTCAGCAGCCCAGTGCAGTTCATCTCAGCAAGGCCTGAACTGGTCATTGGCTTCTCAGACCAGGCGCCCTTGTGGGCCAAAGCTACAGGGAGGAGAGCTGTCTTTGCCCAGGAGGAGCTTCATAAATCTGAGGATGTCAAAGAATTTTCTTCAGTGAGGCAAGCCATCAAGGAGGTCATGCACTCAGCTGGTGGGCCTGACATGCTTGTTGAGCAATTGGCACCAGCAACACCTAAGCATAAGGCCAAAAAACAGCTGACCTTTGAGTCATCTCAGTCATCTCCCAAGGGGTCAGTAGTGAGGCAGCTCAGCTTTGCATCAGCAGACACAAGTTCTCCAGCCAGCCAACCTCAGAAGGATTCTCTGGTGAAGAAGGCCAGCTTTGACTCAGCTCCACCAAGCCAATCTCCAGAAGATGCTGAGCAAATTGTACCAGCCAGCCCTCAGCAAGGTGCAGCGAGCTCAAGTCAGCCCTCAGCACCAGCAGCCAAGCCAGCTTTGCCTCAGCCAGGATCCACCACTCTCATTGGAATCTCAGGGGAGGATAGATACAGGATCACCTATGAGGCAAGACAGCTCCTGCACAATGTCTATGCTTCTGAGGATAAGGAGATTATTGGCTCAGTGGGCAAAGGCCTCTTAGTTGTGCCAGGGCAATGGGCCAGACTGAGCAACATCTCAGACTCAGGCACTTGGCTCCAAACTGAGAGCTTCAAAGTAGGTGACACTGTCATCACCAGAA